GGGAGAACAGAGGCAAAATAGTCATTTAGCATCTGTGCCTGTTCCCTCATATCAGTCACTAGATCTCCTTCCTCCTTATTTAGTGGTCCCACCACTTGTCTCCCCTTCCTCTTCCTATTTACATGCTGAAAGAAGCCCTTTTTGTTGCTCGTAATCAGCCTTAGCCTTGCGAAGAATCCTCCTGCAACGGGCCTCCTCCTCCCGGTATACCCTTTTGTCTATTTCCCCCAGTACCCACTTCCTACGGAGGTTCCTCTTTCGTCTAATCCCCCTAACCACCTCCTTTCGCATCCATGGCGGCCTCTCCTCCGCCTCCCCACCTTACTGACTAGAGGTATCGTCAAGGCTGGCGCCCCCAAGCCCTCCCTTTTGTGGTCTCCGACTGTTTGTGCAATAGCAAGAAAAGTCACCTGCTTTCTCCTTGCCACTCGGAGTCCTTCACTTGCACATTCTCAGCGTGTGCAGAAATACCAAATCCAGCTGGTTGCCATCAGGCAGCTGCTCTCATGGCTGATTTACACCCCTGACGGTTTTTGATTGAGGAAAGAGGTTAAAAAAGGCAAGTTTAGAAAACAAGCATGGAAAATTAAGATTTTGTCCTATTTCCTATTCCTCTTGCTTTCATTCAGATTGCAAAAAAACATAGCATTTCAGAAGTGCGACTTCTAGATCGGGAGAGGTGTTGCTGCCACTCTACATGACTGTGGTGTGCCTGCAACTGGAGTATTGTGCTCGGTTTGGGCCCCTCATTACAGGAAGGATATAGCCAGGTTGGAGTCAGTGCAGCGCAGGGCCACAAGGTTGGTGGCCGGTTTTCAGGGGATGCCGTATGAGGTGAGACTGAGGGAACTGGGTCTCTTCAGCCTGGAGGAGACTCAGAGGGGACCTGTTGGCGACATGCAGGTATGTGAGGGGGTGTCACACGGAGGTGGGTAGAGGCCTGTTCTCCCCTGCAGAGGAAGGCAGGACGCGCTGCAACGGAGCAAAGCTCAGGGAACCCAGGCTCCATTTGGATGCCAGGAAGCACTTCCTGACAGTCGGGACCCCGAGGGTGTGGAATGGGCTTCCTCGGGAGGTGGCTGAGGCCCCATCGGTGCGGGTGTCCAAGGACAGGCTGGACATGCACATGGTGGGCATGTCGTGAGTGGAGCCGGCTGGAGCCGGGGGTCAGACTAGATGGCCCGGGAGACCCCTTCTGACTCGCTCTGTTTTCTATGCTTCTATGTTTCAAGCCTTAGCAGACTCCCTGTGATGACATCGTGGCCCCCGGGGGTCCACGGACCACGGGACTAGAGCCTTTCCTTCCCGGGCCGTGTCCCAGTTCTGAACTTGGGAACAGGCCTCGCTCCCGAGAGGCTCCCAGATCCCACCTGTCCTGCTCTTGCCACCCCGCCGGGCAAGCGAGGGCCCCTCGGGATCCAGGCCTGCCCCACACGGATGGGGGCGGGGGCGGCAGAAGGGAACTTCCTGGCGTCTTTTTCTGCTGCCTTCTCCATGCGGCAACCGGAAAACGTCGTGTGGCTGGCGCAACGAGAGGGCATTCCCTGCTCTGATGGGTAAAGACGCACCTTTGATTTGCGGAGAGACAAAACAGAGCATCCCAGGGACCGGCGATTCTGGTCGCGGACTGTGGGAGCCCTTTGTTGCGGCCGGACCGAGTTCAGGAGTGCCAGTCCGTGGAGGGACGAACTCAGTCCGAGTGGCCTGTCGATGAGTCAGCTTTGTTTTCAAATGGCCACGCGCTCCGTCGAGCACGACGGGCTCCCCCTTCGCAAGGGCTGGGAAGCGGCAGCCTCTCCCCATGGCCGGGCGGCTTCCCGCTGGACGCGTTCGCGGTCCCGACACCGGGCGCCTGCTGCAGGAGCCACAGCCGGATAACACCGGCAGCGGCTTCTGCGTGTGACGTGGCGACAACACAGGGGAAACCGCCCTGCCGTGAACGGGGGATGCCCCGCGCCTGAGTGGCCTCGGCAGGCGTCTTCGAGCTTCTGGCAAGCGCGCGGCTTGTCTCATGTCCCCGCTCAGAGACAGCGAGCGAGTCCCCGGCCTTTGCCACCGGTGGTGCTAGCGCTTCAGCTGCTGGTCCAGCCAAAGGAGCGCATGGTTTCACAAAGGCCGGTTGGTAAGGCTCTGCAGGCTGCGGCCGAGTGAGTAAGGCCCCGAAGCTGCAGGGGCTGCTGGGTTGCGGAGTCCGCGGCTGGGTGGCCGGAATTTGCCTTCCAATATTTGTTTGGTGTGGCATCCAAGCTCTGCTTTACTAAAATGTGCTGAAATTGTGAGTGTTTCCCACAAGAATTGCACATAGCCAGGCGTTACACTGCATCGCCGCCCTCGTGCACAAATGGGCGGCCGTATATTAATTCTAGTGCTTTCCCTGCAACAGCCCCTACCACACACACACACACACACACACACACACCCCATTCGTATGTTGCATTTGCTGCAATTCTGGGATGCAAGAATTCCCCCCTGGCTGCACGCAGGTTCTTGCCAAGCCTTCCTCTTGCGTCACAGTCAGCCACGCTTTGTGATGCTTAAGCACGTTTCCCAGAGAATTTAGGAAATGCCAGGCCACGGCGTGATCCACGCGTAGGTGGGGGCAGCCAGCGTCTTGCTGTCGTGGCGCGTCGGCCCGTCCCTGTGGCCTAACATAATCAAGCACGTTAAGCGCTTGAGGCGCAAAATTCAGACCCAGATGAAGAGACTGGGGGTGTTACTTGTTTACACGCCACTAACCTGCCAAGGGGCCGCCTTTTGGAATGGCTCCAGGTGAAAAAGGAGTTCATATTTGCGTGCAGAACATCCTCTGTGAAGCCCCCAGATGTGAGCAAATGCACCACGTGCAGGTTGCCTTGCCAGGCAGGCGCTTGAATCCGGATCGTTCCAGTTCCCGGCCCGCTTTGCGCCCGTTCCTTAATTTGGCCAAATTCCCGTGATGAGTCAGCCCCACTTTAGGCTACGGGGAGCCGTGCCAAGTGGGAGCCGGGTGCGAATTGGTGGAGCCTCGAGCAGCCACGAGGAGGCTTGTGCAGCTCTCCGGAGATGTGCGGAAGCCTCCTCTTCAGTGGCTCTCGACTTTCACCCACATCCTGTTGAGTGAAGTGGGCGTCTCTCCCGAAGGCCGGTGGGGGGACGGGAGGCAGTGAGTCCCAGTGGGCGCAGCACCGCCGCCTTGCCCGGCCCGCGTATGCCGGGCTGCCACGGGGAGGCGCTGCCAGGTCGGCCTGCCTCAGGTTGTCTTTCCTCCTTCCCAGCCTTGAAGAAGGGGCGCTTCTGGATCACCCCCGACCCCTACCACAAGGACGACAACATCCAGATCGGGAGGGAGGTCAAGATCTCCTGCCAGGTGGAGGCGGTCCCTTCCGAAGAGCTCACCTTCAGCTGGTTCAAGAACGGCCGGCCGCTGCGCAGCTCCGAGAGGATGGTCATCACCCAGACGGACCCCGACGTCTCTCCGGGGACCACCAACCTGGACATCATCGACCTGAAATTCACTGACTTCGGGACGTACACCTGCGTCGCCTCTCTGAAGGGGGGCGGCATTTCAGATATCAGCATCGATGTCAACATCTCCAGCAGCACAGGTGAGCGGACTCCCGCAACCCCCGGCACGCTCACGGTTGGTTCCGTGAAAAGAGGCCTGCATCTCGGGGGTGGGGGGAGAGAGCGAGTGAGCGAGCGAGGGATGGGGCGCTGGTCCAGGCCGCTGGAGTCCGAGCGTGGGGACGATGGTCCCACAGACACGGGAGGGGGTCTTGCCGTGATCCTGCCCTTGGCCAGAGGGTGGGGTTCACACAGTGGCATCTCGCTCGCCCGACAAACCAGCAGCGTTGATTTATGGACCACTCGCAGCAGAGGGACTGCAGAAGCGAGCGAAGGCCCCTCATCCGCAAGACCGCGCTGCCTGTTTGCGTGCGCTTGCGTGCGCTTGCGTGCCCTGCTCCCCTGAGCGCCTCCCTGCCCAGGCTTCAGAATCTTTAGCGCCTGTAAAGGTGGGGGGGGGGGCGATTGCAGGGGGGGCGGTGCAGCCAGGGTCCCAGCAGGCCTCCTCGGACCCTGGACCCCTTCCCGTGCTGGGCCCTCACCGAGGAAGTGAGCTGAGCTGAGGGGGGTCCACAGACGCCCCCGAGGGTCCCTGCGGCCTCCCTCCGCAGCAGGTGCGCCACAGGCGAAGGCCACGTGCCGCGGGGGCAGCAGAACAGAAGGACGTCGCTTGCCCAGCATCCCACGGGCTCAGCGCCGAGCCACTCCGCGCGCTCGCCAGGGGCTTGGGCGCTCGGCAGCGAGAACGCAGGCCGGCATCCGGGAGCAGAGCCCGGGAAGCCCAGCCTATTCCCACCCCCAAAACAGACCCAGCCTTGGAGAAGTTCGTGGTCGTGGAAACACGCTGAGTGCTGAGCAGGTTGACAAAGCGGGTTGACAGGCAGGAAAATCCAAGGCGCAAAGATGTCCTGGACAGGGTGCAGAACTGAAGGGCAGAACGCCCTGACTTTGCCCAGAGGGCAGGGACCCTGAGCCACAAGAAGGCTGCTCCCAAGGAAGGGCCTCGCCACAAGGGGGAGGCGACCCCACTCCCACGCACTCCGCTGGGCCTGCTTCACTCCCCGTTGCCTGTAGGGCTGAAGGGCCCTGGCGCTGCCCAAGCTGCTGAGAAGCTGCCCTCCCCGCGCCCAGGAAGAGCACCGCCTGCCCGGAAGGGGCACCCGCCTGGGCCCAGGCCTGGCCATGAGCGAGTGGCGGCACCCACTTTGCCGGCGGGGAAGACCCCCGCGGCAAAGAGCTGTGCCCGCCGTTCAGCTTCTAGCCCTGCAGGCAGAGGGTCTCCTTTGTAACCAGAGTGAGCCAATCCAGGAGCCCTCGGTTCCCAAAAAACAGGGTAAATGCTTTGAAGTTAAAAATAAACAGGATGGATGGATCCCCTCGGATCAAATGCACAGATTACGTGCTGTAGCTTGGAGGCCGAAGCAAGCAAGCAATCGAGCGTAGCTGTGAAGAAAGGGACCGCAAGGCCCGCCTAAGCACCAAGGGTGGTGGTGTCGGTGTTGCCCTGTGCTGTCACGTCCTCTCCAATTCATGGTGAATGGAAGACCCCCGGAGTCTCCTGACTGTGGCCGCTGTGGCAGCCCCTGCAAGTTCCAGGCTGTGGCTTCCGTCCTGCTTTCAGCTTGGCCGGGTTCGATTGTCTTCGGCAGGGAGCCTGGCCTCTCATGATGCGCCCAGGGTCAGTGCCAGGGCAGGAGGTTCAAGGCTGACGGCAGACGATGCGACGGAGCAACTTCTCCCAGGCGGCCCCAGCCTTGCCTTTGCGAGAGCGGAGCAGAGCAGCCAAGCGGGGGACCTTCTGGGGGCCTCATGTGCAGCGTTGCCGTGCGTTGGAGACAACTCGATGGCACGTCATGACAAAGAAGCGCAAGGCACTGGGCTGCCAGAAGAGGGTCGCGCAGCTCCGGGGGCCCCTCTGCGGGGGTGTCCCTGGTGCTCCCCTGCCTCGCAGAGCTTCACGGGGGCCGCTCGGGAAGGCCCTCGAGTGAGGTCTGGCTGGCTGTGCGCGTGCGAAGGCGGCCTCCCCGGAGAGCCGGCCGAGGGGAGGCAGGGCTGCCGCCGACATTGCCGCCTCCTGGGGCGCCTGGCAGCCATGGGTGGTGAGCGGGGGCCGCTTCCGCTCGCTGGGCACCGAGGCGTTTCCCGCAGGATAGCTGGCCGGACGAGGTCGAGGGAGCCAGAAACTCTCCGCTGGTGGAATCCGGAGTCGCTTGAAAGGGTGCAGGGCCGGCCCAGGAGCGTGGGGGGACCTCCCATGGGCCTCCGCCCCCCATCGTGGGAGCAGCAGCGGAGGCACGCCGGGCTCCCCAGCGGCCTCTCCCCTTTCCTCCCACTGGCCGTGGCACCCCGGACCTGCTGCCTGCAGCCCCTGCTTCAGTACGGCTGGTGGGGGGCTGACTCCGGGGGTGTCCCTCTCTGGAGCGAATTGCTGCAGCTGCGGAAACCGTGAAGCCAGCAACTTCAGCAACCCGCACGGCATTTTCTGCTGCCTACGTGCGCTTTTTCGAGCTTTGAAATGCACCTTAAGGGTATTTTAGTCGAAGTCCAGCGGGAATGTGGAGCATGGAACGCTCAGTCCTTCTGGCACAGCGTCATGGGGGCCAGCGAGGTCGAGCGCCTGGCCGTCCTGGGCGAATCCCCATGTGGGAGAAGCTCTGAGGGGGCACATTCCAGGGGCAGGTGGGATGCAAGGAAGAGGGGCGGGGCCAAAGCAGGAGGGGCGGGGCCAAAACACCAGCGCATTTACCATTAACCCTTTCCTGCCGGTAGTTAAACATAGGAGAAGCATCCCGGCCCTTTAGACGGAGAAGAAAGATGCATGGAAGCCAGGAACCCAGCAGATGATTGGCGGTCGGGAAAAGTGGGTGGGGCGAGCACAAGGGGAGGGGCCCGAGAGCCAGCGGACCCCCGTATCGTCCAGCCCACGCAGCAAATGCGACGATCAGAGCTGCCCCCTGAGCTATGACCCTCCCACATTCTCTCAGATTTATTTATTTTCACTGATTGTATTTCTATGCTGCCCGCCCGCCCAAAGGGCACTTCACAGAATCAAACAAATGCTATAATTAATAGAAAACAGGCATTATAAAATGGCAGCAATACAATAATATAAGTTCAATAATGCAATAAAACAATGATCCGCCCACCATGAACACAGCTGAATTAATCTTAGACTACAGTAATAAGGCAGCGTAAAATGGGAATAAAAATCTAACTGTCAAATTACTGGGAGAATGCGAAGGTTTCCATCTGGTGCCAGAAGGTGCGCAGAGCGGTGCCTGGTGCACCTCTTTGGGGAGCGGATCCGCATATGGGGTGCCACAACCAAGAAGACCCTTCCCATCATGGGCAGCCTCCTTTGCCCCAGTGCAGGAGGAGCGTGGCTGATCGTTAACGGATCGGTAAGCAGGGTTGCTCAGCGGAGCAGCAGAAGGGGGTGCGTGCCGGGGGCTCCCTTGACTGCAGAGAGAGAGATGCATGAGGATTCCACCTGGGGAGCGGATCCATTCGATCCCCGGGGCTCAGCTCCCCTCTTCCCTGGGCTGCGCACCAAGCTTCCTCCTGGGCACGAACCAAGCCCTGGGCCCATGCAGGCGCCAGGCGAGCAGCATCCGGCGCCCGCTCACGAGCCCTGCAGCCTCTGCAGGCAAGCTGGACGGTCCGGAGGAGGGCACTGGAAGCAAAGCCCCGGGATGGGGTGGCCCAGCCGAGACTTGGAAGCCGTGTGTGTGCTTGGAGTTGATTTTGGGGTGCACAGAGGGCTTGGAGCCCCGTTCCCTGCTCCTGATCCCAGTGATGGCGGCGACGCCATTGCGCAAGCTCCCACGAGGCCGCTGGCCCGTTCTGCCCTCTTCCTGAGGGCCAGGAGGAAAGAGGCTCGGGCCGGCGGCCTCGGAGAGCTCCCTGCAGCCCGTCCTGCCCGCTCCTGCTGAGGCTGCTTCGGGCGGCAGATCAGTGGTGGCGGCAGCGGCTTTTCCATGGTGCCTTCAGCTTTTCCATGGCACCGAAGATGGATCAGATCCAGGCCCACCGCGAGCTCTTCTTTCAGGCCTTCGGGAGTGAGCGGGCGTACTTGACTTGGGAGGGAAGGGCAGGGGGCCTGCCTCCTGGAGCGGCAGGAGAGGCGAAACCCCCAAAGCGCCTTTGCGCTCGCCAGCACGAGGGGGCGCGGCATGCTGGGGCAAACTCTCGCCGGGTCACCCCCTGACCTGCTTTCCTCCCACTCTGGGCAGGAAATGCAAAATGTACTATGCATTTTTCTAAGCATTTCCCCTAAATATCTGCGTTTTTGCAAGCATTTCCCCTAAATAGCTGAGTTTTCCTATTTTATTTTTGTACACAATTTCTCCTAATCTATGCCTTTCGTATGCCTTTAAAATACTCCGGGGAACAGCATCAGAAAATTTGCGGAAGTGCAAAACCTGGAGGATAATTGCGTTCTGCTTTTATGATGATGCGTGAAGTCCGTCCCTGTTGAACTGCAAGCCAGGCAGATCCCTTCCCATCCCTGCACCCTCCACGTTGCTTCATGCACCCCCCCCCCACGTCTCCAGGGGAACGTTGCTTGGTTTTCAAGGTGGGGGCCAAAAGCCTCTTCTCTGCCGAGCCCCGGTAGGGCTACTACTGGCCCAAACTGGCAGCAACGGGCCGAAATGGGCTTGCATTCTGACTGAGACAGCCTCATGCTTCCTGCAAAGATGGGCCACAGCTGGTTGCTGCAAGGGACCACCAGCTACACCAGCTCAGGAGATACAGTCAATAAACCTCCTGCCGGTCATCCGCCTCCCCTCCCGAAGCTCCAGATGAGATTGTGAGCTTCCACGTGGAAGTCCGCGCCTGCAGCTCCGTGTGCCATTTTCCCAGCATGCATTTCCAGCTACAGGCATGCCTGACATGCACCGTGTGAGCCCCCACGTGGTTTTCCATGTTCATTTTTCACGTGTGTGCCAACTGCCTGAGACCCCGTTTTAGTGCAGGTATCATACTGCTCCCTTTGAAAGGTGTGGGCGTTTCCCACAGATGGTGCCGTTCCCTGCTTCCA